AACCAAAGATTGCCCAGCCCTTCAAGGTGTGAACTGTTTTGCTGGGTTGGTTCTGTACCTGTATGGTACATGTGTTAATTATTTCTTGGGAACTCAAAAGTGAGAGACTCAGTTTTGCAGTCAAAAATGGAAATGCTATAAAATACTGTATACTTCGGATTTCCAGAATAATAGGTATTGTATCTGGGGTTTAGGCTGTTTTACTCTGTAGCACAAAAGCTTTTTATTGTGCCTTTTCTCACCCTCCACCCCATTTTTGGCATTTCAAAATGCTAGGGCTTTTTTTCCCCTGGCATTCTTTTAGTGAGTCACAGGGTGTAGTATGATTTTGATTGTAAAATTAATAGTAATCTACTTCAGAACGGCTTTACAATGGGAACTTGTAAAAGGAAAAATCATTAATCATTCAGCATTTTATAGCTGAATAGTTTTAAAGGAAAAGTAAAATGCTCTGGGAACATTGCTTTTCTTGGTTACCAAAAAAAAAAAAAAAACAACAACCGAAAACCAAAAAACACCAGCCACAGGAGATAATAAGTACTGGATAAAAGCTTTTCCTTTCCTACACTGACTGCAAGACATTAATTCTTAAGTTTGTTGTTGGGTTTTGTTTTTTTTGGTTGTTTTGTTTTGTTTTGGGTTTTTTTTTTGCAAGTACTTTTGATATTTTGTAAGCTGAACTTGTGCAACAAAAGAATTTAAAGAAGCTCTCTTTAGGTCTCATAACAAATTGTTAAGAATGTGTTCATTTATTTATACTAAACAGCCAGTTCTACTTATTCTCTTTCTTTGAGCATACATGCTGGTCTGTAGTATGACCATCCTAAAATAACTTTTCCCTCTTGTTTAACAAGGAAGAAGCACTGTTTTTAGCACTCTTTTTATACTGTATTTTTACAGTATTAAATAGATTTCAATATTTTAATCACTGTTATTGAAGACTGAAGTTTAAAGAAAATTAAACTAATGCCGAGTCCTTCCATAATTTAATAGTCAGTTGTTCCAAATATAAAATTAGAATCCACTAAATTCCGAGCATTGGATCTGTCAGGGCACAAGTTCTGGGACAATGGTTCCTGTTATAGAGTTCTGGCCTGAATTTCTGGCCTGAGAGTGTGGTAATTTCCATGGTTTCACTTTTCTTCTAAATCTTTTGAAACTGGAGACATTTTTCTTGTGTGCCTTAACTTTCTTTTTTTTTTCTTTCTGGGAAGATGCACGGTGGTACTGAATGAGAATACTATTCTAACTAATGAAGTAGACACTGAATAACTGGATTTAAATAGAGTTTTATGTCCTTTATATGCTTTTGTTTCAAATGCAAATTAGATTAAAGCTTTCTTTCTCAGAGTAAAGTATATGCTATATTACTGAAATATAATATTTAATAATAAAATGGCAGACTTTTGTATCTCTTGATCACCAGTACTGCTCTGTCAGTGAGTAGGGAAGGAAGCAAGAAGAATTAAAGATGATAAAAGACATAGGAAGAAAGCAAAAGAGTGTGTTAAAATCATCGTATTCTTTAGGGTTTGTATCTGTACAAGCCATTATGTGATATGAGAATATGGGTGCAGAGGCGAGGCTTCAAAGACCTAACAACCTTGTTCTGCCACGGAGGGACAGTCATTCCGTTTTCTGTTTCATACAGCCACCTGTACTGGGTGACAGTCATGTGTTTCACTTGAATGCCTCAGAATTCAGATATCCCAAGGCAGACTAGACCATCCTGCTCTGGACATTTTAGTGCATTTGGGGTTTTGCTTTTGTTTTTGGTAAAGGCCAGATGATGTAAGAGGAAATGTTATGACCAGAGAACAGGAAATGTGGTTCTCTGTTGCTTGTCAGTGCTATTGACATCTGTTGTAGAAGTGATTTGACATACTCTATGGAATAGAACTGTAAATACACTATTCTGCCTGTCACAGAGTGCTCGCTGATGGAGCTGTGAGTAGGTGCATAATGAATCATATCCTAAAATAAAAGTCCCAATGCACAAAATAGTACACCTATTAAAAAGTGTTTTGCTCCACCCTCCTGTCCAGAATATTAGAGAGTTTCATATGAACCAAAGTATACATTTCTGTATGTTTTAGTAAGTATACTGAAATAAAAAGCATTTCTGGTTTCATTCCTGAGAGAAGGCTAACAATTAATTTCCTCAAGCTAACAGTATTTGCACTTCATGCTTAGGAGAATGCTTGAATTATACCAACAATGCAATGGGACAAAATCATTATAAATCTGCTTGGACATTTAGTATTTGGAAGGGTGTTTCCTCCTTGATACGTAGGCAACTTTTTCTGCTTCTAAAGTCATGCTATAGCAAGGTCACTGCATAGTGTCTTCCAGTCTGCATAAGCTGCAGACTGCAAATTAATCTTTTCAGCTGGCTCTTTGGAAGGGTCTACAAACATGAACTTTCTTGTTTGCTCTTAGAAGATAAATTTATCCCTATTTACCTATATTCCAGGGCAGCTGTCAAGCTCATTTTTACATGGAGTACAGTGGTGAACACAGAGTACAATGCAGCTTTTCACTTGTTGCTTCACTACATAATATCTTTAAAGGTTCATGCAGAATTATACTCACAGAAATTAAATGTTTTTTAAGCAGTGTGTGAAGATGCAACCCAAGTAGAAGATACCATTTAACACATCCTTCCCCCCAAAAAAATCCTAACTAGCCCTCTCTGACAGTTTGAAACAGTTCTATATAAATTAATATTGTGTCTGTGTGAATTTGAAAAGAGATTGAGTAGAGCTGGTGAACAATAAACAAAAAAAGATTCTTCTTCTGGACCCACTGAGTGTACTGGGGAGGAAAGATGACAACATATCAAAAAGTGGGATAGAGAAAAGGGGTGTGGCAGCAAGGAACAGAAACCGAACAGCTGAAGAAGAGATTGGAACACTGTTAGGGTGACCAGGCAATAGACCCGCAGCCAGCTGTTTGTGCTCATGGAAAAAACTTCCTAGAAACCAGACCTGCCATGCACTGACAAACCGGGCAGTTGGATACTTAAAAGTTCTTTAATTTTCATATTGTCTTGCATAGTACTTTTCAGATTTTTCTCTTTTAGTTGTTCATTCTCTAGAATAGATATTCCAAGTTTCAAAGCTGTTTAGAACCTCCTTACAGATATAATGTAATGGAATGTTCTAAGCAAATCTCCTCAAAACCTTATTTTTTGGGGGTTGTACTGGGTTTATACTTTAAAAGGTTCCTATTGGAGTATTTTCCACTTTGTAACTATTTAAAACAATTGCATTTTTGTAGATTTAATTGGTGTAAGAGTCACTTTCAAGTGTTTCTTCTGTTTATATGGGAAAGATATAAGGCTCTTTTGGCTCACTCTTTTGCTCAGGTTTAGAAGATTACATCCTATTTTAAATATTCAACATAGCCTATCCTTAGGAGGAGGCAAGGTCTCAGTCTATCAGTAAATGAACAGCTGTTTTAGCCCTTAAAAATTTGAAAGGCCCATTAAACATAGCCAATTCAAAATGCTTTGGAGGAAAACACTAGAAAAATGCTTTCAAACACTTCTTGCTTGGTATCACAGTGGAGTCTCTAACATAGTGGGAAGTCAGGAGAACAGGAAAATATCGTTTTTGAAAAGGTGCTTTTTTATGTGGCATCAGTATTCAAGCTCTTGAGTAATTAAAATGAACAAGAACGGAGGATACTTGGCCATTTCCCCTCTGTTATTGGTAGTCTAGAGATTTCTGGTAAATAATTACTTTTTAATATTTTCTGGCCATTATTACAGTTATCTTCCACTTTAGTTGTTTTAGAATTTAGTTAATTTTTGGTTTTGCATTGGTACTTTTTCCCCAAGGTTTCTGCCATTTTATCTTTAAACTTGCTTTTGCTATACTACTTGACCTTTCTGAACCTTTACAAAAGTATCTTTTAATATGTCATGTGTCAAAACTCCTGTTTCATAGAATATTTTAGGTTGAAAAAGATTTCTGCTATCATCTGGAGTTACACATCTGTACAACCTGATTTTAGTTATTGTTAGTGTTTTCCACATAATCACAGTATTTCAGATAAATTCAATTTCCTATACAGGCTAGAATATTCTTGTTTCCTGAATACCTTTTGCTTACCAAATCCTTATCGCCACTTAAATACTCTTTGCTTCCCACTGCTTATCACAGTCTTGAAACATCTCACAGACTTGAAAAATATCTGACAGGACCAAATGTCTTCTGTGTCCTTTCTAGTTGGATGAATTACTTAAACTGATTCCTGATAGTGTCTTCTCCACCACTGTGTTGTTTTGTACTTTGAGAAATAGAAAGATGTTCTTGAAGGCATAACATTAAAAAAAAAAAAAAAAAAAAGAGGGAAAAAAAATGTAGGATTGGATAAAGTAGCAAAATATTGAAACCATTGTTTCTGTTGGGTTTTTTTCCTGAGATGAGTTTGCATCAGTCAGGAGCTGGTATGGGTGGACTCTGACAATGTGGAAGATAAATATGTCTGCTTAGTTATCTTTCAAAGACTAAGTCATCAGCTATTGACTTTCAAAATCTGATTGAAAAGGAGGTTTGCAGTTTTGGGGTGACGAATGGGATATCAGCTCTCTTCAAATGTGCAGAAAATTAGGGGGCAGGGGGAGAAAGATTTAGATTTTGTACAAATGCAACATAACCCCATAATTGAATTTATTGTTCATTATACTAATGGATTCCAATCTTATAGTTGCAACAGAAATATTTTTAATTATTTTGCACATAGATTTTTTGACTAATGTTTATTTTGCATTTACTGTGAACTCTTCTGTCATGAACATTTGCAGTCCAAACAGCTGTTGGGTATCCAGTGTTTCATTTGTTTGTGTCAGTTTTAAGCTGAGTGAATTTTGGCCTATCATTTGTAAGATGTTGTCAGTTGAAGAAGTGAGGAGGGCAGCTCATGAATATATCTTACTTTTTCTCCATACTCAAGCAAAATTTTGTTTTCTCTCTCCCTTCTGTGCATTTAAATAGGAGGACAGCTGCCTTTGGATGGTACAGAACTCACTGACAGTTGCTCTTGCTTCAGATCACTTCATGAGAACTTCAGAAGTTACTAACTGAGGTATTTATTTGTTCTTTTCATTTTTTTCAAGTTTTAACTTTGTAGAAATTAATTACATGGAAGAGCAGGACAGAGACATCTAGAGTAGTGAAGAGAAATGGTATATGGAAAATAGCACGAAGTTCTGTCATAAAGAGACCTACTGGGCGAAAGGATCTAACCTTTCAATAGCTAGGCACTATGTTAGTCAGTCTTTTTTATATGTTTAGAAATCAAATAATTACAAATATGTCAAAAGAAAACATGTTATAAATGCAGTTAAAAACATTGGGATTTTGAGGGTCATGTACCCAGTTTTATCTGATCCTCTAATTTTCTCCAAGATTCAGCAGAAGATTTTGCAGAAAATCCCTAGACATAAAGACCTAATTACCTAAATAATGAACCTTTCAAAACTGTCCATCATTTATAGTTTTCTTCCTCTAATATTTAAAAGGTATTTCAATTAAAGAAAAGCTTAGGTATTAACAAAACATACAAATGCTTTCCTCACACTTTCTTTCATACAACCCTGAGAATAAATACAAAATCTGTTTTAAAAATATTGATAAATATTTTTATTGCGAATATTTGTCATTTTTGGTAGATACCAGTGAATTAATTTCTTTGAAGAGAAAAGAACAGCATTTGTATATGTAAACAGAGTCTGATAAAGGATTTATGGCCACAGAACTCATGAAGAGAAAAAAGTATCTTGTAAGCCTGTGATCAGCTGGATTTGTGTCAGTCCTAAATTTATGATCTGCAGCTGTTAAATGTGTGATAGGAGCTTTGTCTTCTAAGGCGTGATGACAGTGTGAGCACAAGGCTGGAAAAAAGGAAACATAGTGCTTTGAGAAATGAAAGTGTCCAGATGTGGGTGATATTTGCAATGCTTCTCATAGCACAAACGTTATTTTAATGCTTTTTAAATTGTGGAAAGCTACCGGCACAGATTCTAACATATCTGAGGTTGAACAAGAAGTATGCTGGTCAGTGTTTGTGTAGGCAGTGTAATGTAAGCAGTGCCAGGCTGGAATTCTTTTTCTGTATTTGAGAGCTCAAAGCTTTTATGATACTGGGGGAAAAAAATAAAAAAGGATGTCTTGTAACTTCAATAACGTCTGAAATCTGAAAATATGCAATATATGCAAGTTTTTTTTATATAGCTCTTATTTATGTGTGTCTGTGCATATATATGAATCTGTATTTTAGATAACAAGATAGGCTTAACTTCTTGGAAAGATTGATAATTGTTATTATGGTTCTTGTATAAAATTTATATGTGCTATTATAGGTATATTACAGTATCTGTATTTCCTTTTTTAAAGAGACTTTTTATATGCCAGCCAGTATATATTATAGCTAGAATAATGTTAGCTTTAAAATGAAAAGTTTTCAGAAAATGAACTCTTAAAATTCAGTTGGGATGTTACATACAGATTCAGAAAAGAAAGCAGAAGTCTTTTTTGTTTCTAATTTTGCATTGAGTGCTATTAGCAGCCAGCTCTGATAATGGTTTTTACATGCAGCTTCTGTGGAGTGCTCAGAGTTTCAGATTTTAATAAAGAAGTTGGCATTACGTGACAGGTTGAGTGATTTCAGTGCACGTTATGGATTGGTTATGTCTTACCATAAGTTCATTTCTGGAGTCAGTACACAACTGTTTTAGCAGTAGAATTAACCGCTTATGTCACAGATTATAATTAGCTGTGTCTGTGTGCCAGAGCAACAGGATGGAATGCAAAACATAGCCAAACATGTGAACGAATTTTCTTCCAGTGATATTTGGCCAGACCTAAAATATCTTCCACTCCAGATCTGAAAGTAGTGGAAAAGTTAGACAGTTCTCTCTTGGAAAGAGACCGGTTGTAGTTTTTTCACAAGTCCACATTGTTTCAAATCTCCAAGGTAAGTAGCAATTTTTAAAATTTATATTTGTATTAAAACATTAGCATGTTAACAAATGAGTTCTTTTTGTTTGTTCTTGTTACATGGTTGTATTGAGCTTCTCCCTGTCTAAGTTTCTGTACAACATTTCAGATGGATTTTGTCCTTATTTAAGGATCATTTTGATGCTTATGTGGTTTGTTTTAGGGCCTAAATTATGTGTTCATTTTAAACTACAATTATTATTTTTTATTCAGTAGTTTATTTATACTTGTTTTTACAATTAAGTGCAATATTAAGTTATAAATCTGCACTTCTGTAATATTAAGAAGCTAAATTAGAAATTTTAAGTTTAGTAACTTTTAAATCTTTTACAGTATCATGTTACTGTACTTACATAAATATCTGATTTGCAGTAGTAACCCTCTTATGCTTGTAGCTGTATATTTCTCTCAGTTTATTTATCACATACCAAAAGTTCAATTTAGTCGGGAATGGATCCATGGTTCTGCTGAACACTTTTTGCTTGATTGTGGGATAAAACCTCCCACCTGAGGAATTGTTACCAAAATTGTTTCTAACTTCTGGGAAGCATACTTAAATTTATATAGGGCATTTAATTATGTGTACGGAACTCGTTTTGCAAGTGTGTAATATCCTTGAATTCAATTACATTTTCTTGTGGATAATTTCTCTGCCTGAAAGAAAATTACCAACTAGGTATCAGTGGATTACTGACTCATTATCAAATGATTTATTGGATGATACCTGGTGTCTTGCCACCAACAGGTGCTTGCACTGCATACGTAATCATGAATCTGAATGAGCACATAAGTTTCTAAAACAGGATATTGCCAAAGTATAGGAATGTGATTTTAATGCATCAACACCAGTTGGCTAGGTTCCTTTTAGCAAGATATGGGTGTTTTTACTGTATCTGTCTTAAATCTCCTCCTACTTCAGGAGGAGGTGAATCACATCCTAGAAGTGTCTGTCTATTTCCATTTTCTGTGGAGGGGGCCTAGGTAAGTGTGGCTGATGTTGCCTGTGTTTGGAGAGATGAATTTTGGCCTGCACAGCCACTTCCAAATGAGTAGTCCATTTGAGTGAACTATAGGATCTTTGTACCATACAGTTCTGGAAGTTTGCCATGAGTTAAGAATTTGGAACTTTTGTTTGTGATACAGTCACAAATGATGCCACTTTGGCTGAGATGGATTTCTATTTATCTTCTGAACAAATGTTCTATTAGATACACCCCTCCTTTCTATTATGTAATGAATTAAAAATGCTCCTGGAATACCACCAAAGGATAAGAACAACTGCATGGGGTTAAATTAAAAGTTAAAGAGTCTAAATTAAGCCCAGCATTAGAGGGAACCACTTAAAATCTCTTTTCCAGACCTTCATGCTTTTGCTTACCGCATGCAGCTCTTTTCTGGTTGAAAAATCAGTGATTCAAAGTATGTTATATTTGGAGTTTTATTCATAATCATAAGGCACATAAAATTATGTGTACAAAGATCTTCTTGCTTGAATAGCCTCATGAGATTTTTTTCCTTCCTGTGGAAAGTAACACTTTGTACATGAAATATAAATCCCAGGTCTTAACCTCTTACTGGTTTTAATTATTTTCATGACTTGGAATTAAGTAAGCTGGATTTCCTGTGGACATATTTCTCAGAGTTGGTTGTCTTACACGTTTAGCAAGCAGTGACTGAAGGATTTTTGTAACAGAGACATTTACAAGGTCTTTTTCTCACTTCAGTTTTCTGATATTTTATAAGGTCTTCATGCCCACTGCAGTCCCTCAGTAAAGACATAAATGGGGATTCTTATTTTCTCTGTTAGCTCATTTTCAGGAAGTTTGCAGGAATGCAGTATTTGAGACATCTGCTTGTCTGTTGAATTTCATTGAAATTGGCCAAGAAACTCAAAAACTATTGAAGGAGGTAGGGAAAATGAATGGGAGACAGAAGATTTATAGATTGACATAGGGTTTGGTTGCCTTTTTATTTATGAAACCAGGATAAAAGCATCATGGCAGTTTGGATAACAGGTTAATTCAATATCCTGGTCAAATTTTCAGCTTGGGTAATAGTATTCTCACTATTTAATTAATCATAGCTTTGGCTACCTGGGCCAGTCTTCTCATTAAACCTTTCTGAATATCTGCCAAAAGCTGTTAAACAGCTGCTGCATTTCATGCCATGGTTGGTTATGTTTCTGTGGTGGATGAAGTCTGTATAAGACTGAAAAGAGAAATATAAACTAAAATATATGAATACTTTTTAAATGGAGTGTGGTATGTACTGAAGTGTTGGGTAATGCTGATGGCAGTCATAAAGCACATGCTTTTCAATAAGGTGTATGTTTGTTTGTGGATGTGAACATCCTGAAGGTTGCCTGTAAGAACCAGGTATATATGTGTTTTCAATTAAGGGAAGTAGGGATGGAATCGTCTTGTAGTAATGACTGTTAAAACTCTTCAGTTCCTCCCCTCTTTTACTGAGAGCAACACTCAGTTGCTGTGCTGTCAGTGCTCTGAGGAACAATAAGTTTTAGTACCTTTACTTTACCTTACCTTTTCCCAGTATTCCAAGTGCCAGATACTAAATTTTATACAGACTTTTTACATCCTTGCCTTATTAGTTGTGGATACTAGTGGCTTTCAGGAAGGCTAACAATGTTGAGTACAACAGCCTATTTTATGTTGAAGTTTCGCATAGATCCTACCTTGAATTTCCAAGCTGTTAGACCTTTCTGAGAGAAGCATGCAGGCTCCTGATGGAAGTAGACATGTCTACAAAGTTCCACTGCACCCAATTTCCAATTTCCTTAGTTTTGGGGAAAAGGATTTTAAGTGAGAGGCAGTAATAATTAAATTAAAAAGCATGTTCTGATGATTTCAGACTGCTGAAAACAATAAAATGGAAGAGTTTCTTAAAAAAGAATGTAGGTGGAATGAAGCGGAATCAGTAGAGCACAGCTGTGGTAATGAACCCTAACCACAGACCAGGCTACATTAGCAATGCTTTAGGTATCAAGCTCCTTTCAAAGGCCTCTTCCAGTCTAGCTTTGAACTGGAATAAATGATCTCCAGAGGTCCATTGCAGCCCAGTTTTTTTCTAGGATTCTCAGAATTTTCCTAACTATTCACTTTATTGTTATTGTTAATTACCTACTGATTTTGTGTAGTCACCTGACTGTCTTACTAGCTGGTCCAATCGGCAGTGCTTCAGAGCTAATGGAAGAGGGCATCACAATTTAATAAATATTTCATATTGGTAGCTAGCAGTATCTTCAAGCCATGTAAAGTTGCTGTAAATCAATGAGAATTAACTGTAATATTTGACTTTTACTTGGAAATGCAAGGAAGGAAATACATGGATTCAGAACTTAAAGCCAAAAAACTAACTTTAATATCAGCATTCCCTATGAGCTGAAAAGCCATGGGAAGATATTTGTATGCCTGGCAGAAAAGGTTACTGTTATTGATTGCCTGAGTGAAAGTTTTCACAGTAGGGATAATAAAATGATGAGACAGATTTCAGTATGTGAAGGAAGAAGAGCTTGATTTGAGTTTGGCCTAAGTGCCAAAGAAGAAAGTGAGCGTGGTGAAAATCCCAAAAGCAGTCAGTGTCAGGTTTGTTCCCTCCACATTCACATGACAGAGTCCTGATATGCACTGTGCCTTTGCAGTACACCCTAAGACTTCCAGCATATATTCTGGTGCTGCAAAAAGTCATATTTGAGGGTTGAAGTGGTCCGAGTTTCCCCAGAGGGTACCTAGAGCCATGTCTTATGTAATATGGATGGGTGTGGCATAGAATTTTGTGGAGGTGAAGCCAAACCCTTTGTAGGGTGGGCAGCAAGACCAAGACCTGGTAGTCCTGTGCTGCCCATGCTACTTTTCTAGTCTTAAGTGCTCAAACAGACCTGATGTAGCCTGTACACCAAATAACTTGCCTAATTTTCAGCCCTATTGTTTAGTATAAGAAAAGATTTTTTTTTTCCAGCCCCAACACTTCTCTTCCCTGTAACATTCTACTTCTAGTTTCATTCTGTTGTGGTAGTATTTCCCACTTAATGAGAATACTGATGATGTTTGCTGAAAACTGTTATCTTACTTAAACACAGAACTGCACTACAAAATAGTTTATTTAGTTTTCAATGATTTCATGAGTCATTTGATAATTATGTTCAATGCATGTGTAAAGATAATTATGTTCAATGCATGTGTAAAGATAGTGCTTCCAAAAACAGAAATGCAGTTCTTATATTAAAAAAGTTGTATAAGACCATTAATGTATTGTCCTAACACAGAAAAAAAGCATTTCTAACCTATATTTGATAAAAATATGGTATTTATTTGAGTACCCTCCATTCTTTCTGAATTGAATATTTTGTTGAAATTCTGTTAGTAACAACTTTCACAATCTGTGAGAGTACTTACTTTTTAAATATATATTATAATGTTACTGATTTTGCTTTTAGTTAAACATCTGTTGAATTGATAGTATTGTGATTCACACTTGGTGATTTGTTTTAACTGATTTTAGTCACCTTTGTGGAAGAAAAAGCTGTATCCCTTTAGTCATATTGAAAACATCTAAAATACTATTTAAATTGGAAACATTAGTATTACTGTCTTCCTGTATCAGAAATCCTGAGGCACCTAATGGCTTTAAGTCAAGAAAAAATTCAAAGCTAGCATTCAAAAATTATGTACCTTTAATTTAGGATTGTTTGGTAAGCGAAGCATATAAATGGCTAGAATGCAAAATAAGATAAAGGCAGCAGAAAGCAAAATTAATAAATATTCCTTTACATTATCAAAAGATTCCATCTTTTGTTACCTTTTTCTTCTTTTCTTTTTTTACTTTCCTCAGCATCCCTAGGTTCTTCCTCATTCTCCCCATATTTTACAGTCTCCACTTATACATCTCATGTTCGTTTCCTGTGTGTACTCACTACTTAACCTTTTTCTCTTATCCTCAAGTGTCTACTCACAGTGTTTA